CTTCCTCCGGCCCGGACGCGAGTCCCCGCGGGACGCGGCGTTTTGCGGACAGACAGGGCCGCGGGCCCGCCGCCTCGCGCAGCAGAAAACAGACGCTTCTTGCAAGACCGAGGCCGTGTGATTATAAGTTTTATTAGACTCGGGAGGGGAAGAGCTTCACCAACACTCCCTCAAATTAAGAAAAAAAGTACAAAAGCTACAGACAAAGCCCGAGGTCAGACGACTAAACTCTCCCGACTCAGGGCCAAGTTCTGCAAGGGAGAAAGAAAGAAGGGTGTGAGTGGCGGGGAGGGGAGGGGGTCCAGGAAGGGCCCGCGGGTCAGGGGCGCTGCCCTCACCTTCTTGAGCCTCCGCTCTCGTGACGCCTGGGAGTCGGTCTCGGAGTAAGGGGGGGGTGCTGGAGGATAGCGGGCCTCCGCTTCTTCCTCTTCCTCTCTGCAAGGCCTCCTCCTGTCCCCTGACCCCTTTTTCCTCAAGGCCTCTTCTAGCAGCCGCCTGTCATACTGGGCGTCCCCGGACCTGGAGCCATTGTCCCGAGGGTCCCGGGACCGGTGGTAGTGGGGCCTGGGGTCCGCATGAGGGCGGTCCCTGGGCCGGAAGTCGTCGTAGGGGGGATCCCGGGCGTGCGGGGAGTCCCTGGAGTCGTCTTGGTCGTAGAGGTCATCGCGGCTGCGGCTTCGTGGGGGTGCGCAAGCCCGGCCTCTCCTCCCACTGCCTGGGGGGGACCTGCTCCCTGACTCGGCCGAGCCTGGCCGGGCAAAGTCATCCAGAGCGTCCACAGAGCGGGCGCGGGGCCGCCCTGCCCGCCAGCCAGCTCCTGGCTGCTCCCTGAGGGGCTCTTGCTCCCACTTCCTGGGACTCCGGGGGGAATGGCGACCCCACTCCTCATCCCGGATGGGGGCGAGGGCAGGGCCCCGGGAAGGCCGGGATCGCCAGTCGTCCTCATGGAGGGAGGTGACTTCACTCATGGCTGTAGGGGAGGGGAGATGTCACTGACTGCTGGGGAGAGGCCAGGACCTGATATCGGGAGCCCAGGTCCAGCTCATACACTCTAGGGGCCATGGTAGGAAAGGAGAGACTGTCCAGGGTTTGCAGCAAGCACCCCTGGGGCAGGGATCAGGGAGACAGGCTTCCACCTTTCCTGCCCGCCCCCCTCAAGAAGCCCTCGGACCCCAAGACTCCTGCTCACCCCGTTCCACACGGCCGTTGGGGTGGCCAGGTCGAGAGGGGTCAAAGTTGGCCAGCTCTTTTTCCATGTAATACAAAACGCGCATGGAGTCGTCCTGCTGACTGGCCTGAATCCTATAGCCGCTACGGACTTCTAGGGATAGGGAATGGAGGAGGTCAGTTTGGGAGGATGGACAATGACCCAGCCCACGCATCTACAGGTATGTCCAACCTCAAAATGATGGGTTCTCACCAGAGGTCACACTGCTGTCTGTGTCACGAAGCAGGGGTACCTGGGAGCTGTGGCCGGCAACTAGGGGAGACTGGCTGTCAGTGGCTGCCCACCTGCAACAAAGCCCTGCATTCCCAGCCCCTTCCCTGCTCCCAGTCCACTTTTCCCCCCCAGCCCATCCCCTGCCCCAGCTTCTGCTTTTTCCAAGCCTCACCTGAGCTATTCCTGTCGAAGTCTCCGGGGTACCCTCCGGGGTACCCGTTGTAGACAGGGCCCATGGAAATCATGGCTGGTGGCGGCGGGGTCTTGGCAGGGGAGAGGTGGGCGTACGTGCTGGGGGCATAGATGCTTGGGACGCCTGAGGTGGCTGCTTTGCCGGCGGCATACACTGGGAGGACACACACAGTCAGTGTGAGAAGCAGGCGGGAACCATGCTCCCCTGCACCGGTCAGGGTTCTGGAGGGGTATGCCTGCCCCCTCCACTGTGTCGTGTCCCTAGACACCTGGGTCCCTGGTGGTCCTCATTCCGTTTCTGCCGCATCCCTGAGACTAGGGGATATCAGCGTCAACGAGTCCCTATCTCCTTGTGATCTTCAGAGGTTTTAGAAGAGGCAGTGGCACAGGCAGCCCATGGTCTCAGTGTGGCAGGACAACATGTTTTGTTTGACAGTATGGTGGTTTGCCAATATTTGACAGTCAAAGGTTTCACATCCAATTGCCACTTTCCAGACAACTTGTTGGAATATATAGCCACTTTGGGCCTGTGTGCTTACAGGGCAACCAGTGGGCAAAGCTGCCTCTTTAGATAATGCCCACATGCTGTGCCCACCACTGTCCCCCAAATCTGGAATCAAGTATCCTCTTTGGCGGCCAAACCCTTGCTCTAGAAGAGTCACCCGGGAGGGTTCCATGCCCACTGTGTTTATGCCTGCTGGGTCCTCCCCTTCGGGTCATCCAGACCCAGATGTCAGTTGGAGGCAGGAGTCTCAGGAGTTAACTTGCCAGCCCCTGCCTAGAAGCAAAATATCTCCCTTCTGCCCCACCCCCCAGCAAAATATCTCTTCTTTCAGTCCTTCCAGCTCAGGGCCACACCCAGTCGCACCACGCCAGCTCTAGGGTTGACAGCTCAAGGGCAAATCCTTGCTTCCTTCCTCCCCGGGGCCAGAGGCTGGGTTCTGGTGGCTGCTCCTGCATCCGTTGCTGGGCCCTAGGCAAGTCACTGCCTCCTTGGGACTCTAACAGGAAAATGGAAGGGGGAGCTGGCTCAGAAAGACTCTCTTCACCTCTGCTTCGTTTTGGAAGCAGAAGGCTCAATGCACAGCCCTGCCTAGAAGGCCCTTCATCAGCTTAGATGACCCGCAATTTTATAACTAGCATTGGAGGTGCTGCCTCCAGACAGTGAGTGGGGCTGTGGCTGCCACAGAAGTAACAGAGCCTCCATCAGGTAGTTAGTGGGGTCTCGGGTTGGTGCAGAAAGGTCTTAGGGTGGAAGGAGGAATGTGCTGGGGCAGGAATGCAACCCTGGGACAGAAATCTGCAGTCCTGGTCCCAGCCCTAGCCTTAATTAGCCGATTAACTCCAAACTTGGTTGCAGCCCGTCTGTGAAATGGACTAACACCCACCGCCTGAGCAAGAAGCTTTCAAGTCAGCATGCTGAGGATGGTGGCCCACATAACTCTTCAGAGAGCCGTGGAATTTTTTTTTAGGGGTGTGATACTTTGAGGAGCCAGGCTGCACACCCCTGAGTTCAATGATGATAAAGTTAGCATGGACCAAGCTGCAGCCGCGTGCTGGGCACTTACTTATAGTCTTCCCTTAATGCTCCTGACACCCCACAAGGTTGGGACCTTAGAGAAGGAATCGGGGCTCAGAGAGGCAGTGCTGCTCGTCTGAGGCTGCCGATGAACAGCAGGGCTCTGATTGGTGCCCTGGCCCTTAGTCACTCCTGAGGCTGACGGCAGCAGTGCCCAATGACTAGCAGGCATAGGACATTTTATATAGGCCAAGCCCTGTGCTAAATGCTGTGCACATGAGTTCACCAAATCCTGACTCACCTGGCACAGGGAGCTCTAGCATAAGCCCCATTTTACAGAGGAGGATACTGAGCCCAGGGAGAAAAGACCACTCGCTGGGCCTCTAAGCAGGTAAGGTGCAGAGCAGGCCTCAGACCTCCATCTCCCCATGCTTGCAACACTTGCCTAGTATTTTTCTGTTAATGCACCCTGGACTGTGTGCGGAGATGTTGGTCCACCCAGACACTCTCCTGAAGGAAACTAAGGACAGGCAACAGCTATGGTCCCCGAGGAGGGGCAGCAGGGCAGCGGCCAGAGACTCCTTCTTCTTCTCTTGCCCTTCTGCTTGGTTTGCTTCTTTTCCCTCAGCATGGGTTCCACATCCATTCCCAGGCCTCCACAGGCACCCACTCTGATGTGTTAGATATGTGTCTTCAGAGTAGCTGGGTAAAATATGGAGTGTCTGTGTGCTTTTAAAGATATGCTTAAATTGGCCAAGTGTGTTGGCACACGGCTATAATCCCAGCACTTCAGGAGGCCAAGGCGGGAGGCTGGCATGCTCGAGGCCATGAGTTCAAGACCAGCCTGGGCAACATAGCGAGACCTCGCCTCTACAAAAAATAAAAAACTAGCCCAGTGAGGTGGTACATGCCTGTAGTCCCAGCTACTTGGGAGGCTGAGGTGAAAGGACCACCTGAGCCCAGGAGTATGAGCAGTGAGCTATGATCACGCCACTGCACTTCAACCCGTCTCAAAAAATAATAATAAAACAAAATTCACTTAATTGTGGTACTGTAAATCTTGTTTGGTTTCTTATTCCCTTTTCCACTGAATTTTCTTTTCTTTTTTTTGGCTTGGGGGGTCTCACTTTGTTGCTTAGGCTGGAGTGCAGTGGCACAATCATGGCTTACCACAGCCTCGGGCTCAGATGATCCTTCTGCCACAGTTTCCCCACTAGCTGGAACTACAGACACACACCATCACACCCAACTAGTTTTTAAAATTTTTTGTGAAGATGGGGTCTTGCTATTTGTCCTGGCTGGTCTCAAATTCCTGGCCTCAGGCAATTCTCCCATCCTGGGCTCCCTATGTGCTGGGATTACAGGTGTGTGAGCCTGCACACCCATCCAAGGTTTTGTTTTTAAAAGGAACCTCACTTTCATGTGAATATCTTATATTGTTGGACATTTTCTTTTTACCATGTGCATGGATTATAATTTCAAAAGAAGAAACTCAAAATAGCAGACCCTCCTTGGCCTACTTTCTCTCCATTTGCTAACCTTGTAACCTCCAGAACAGTGGCACGGACGTGGGGGACAGGCAGATGACCACCGCCTCCTCTCGGAGCCAGGAGGTTGGCCAGGTGGGGGTGGCCATATGAGGGGCACTTACGGGCCTCGGGACAGCAGCACTTCTCGGGACAGCAGGGGCATCTGACATAACAGCAGCAGGTGTGCGGGCAGCACTGACACCAGCAGATGCCCAGGAGAAGGAAGACGAGGAACACTGCCAGGCAGACTATGACCACGAAGAGCCAGTCTGCGGAGAGAGGGGAACGGGCCCTGAGCCAGGAGGGAGCAGGGGCCACAGCACGCAGGGGCAGTGCAGAACCAGCACCGGGGTGGGGGACTGTTTGCAAAGCTCGTCAGGGAACCCGCAGCCCTTGCTGGATTCTCCATGCTGGAGGCTGAGCACAGTAGCCAAGGGCTGCTCACCCCTCTACAACCCAGGTCAGTCCCCACATCAGGGCCCTTCCCCTGGGGTCAAATAGACAAAGCAGAAAACAAGAGGCCCCCTGGACAGAGCAAGACAGACCAGCCTCCAGGATGGAAGAGTCAGCTGCCCAGATCCCACCCCCTGGAAAGCACTGCAGCTGCCAGTCACAGGAGCCCCTGCCTGCACCCCAGGGCCTTCCCAGCCCAGCCAGCGCACCCCGAGGCCCAGAGCCAGCTCACTGGGTGCTGAGGAGTGGGAGTCAGGCCAGCTTAGTCGGGGGCTACAGGGGCTACAGCAAGCGAGGGTTTAGTTGGGAGGAGGTGTACCCAAGTCGAAAGTGGTAAACAATGTGTGCGAACTCCTGAGAAGCCCCACTCAGGAATCCACCCCCCATACCTTCCAAGGGCCCCGCCTGAAAACCAGGTAAGAGCTCAGCTACCCCTGAGGAATTGCCTGGAGGGACAAAAGAGAAACAGATTATGCTGGCCTCAGCCAGCCGAGGGGTCCCAGCCCCGAGAGCCCAGCCCCAGGCTGGTCAGGTCAACGGTGTGCCCTGAAGCGGGAAGAGCTGGTAGCCGAGGAGGGTGGGTGCCTGACACAGAGCTCTTGGCCTCCACTCCACCTAGATGTGGGTGCTGCTGGGCGTGAAGACTTGCACCGAATGATCCACCAGAGGGCTCCAAAACATGTCCCGGGGGTCCTGAAGGCTTTAACTCAGCTTGGGCACCCTGTCTTTTCCTGCTACCTGGATCCTATCATCCCCAAAGGGTTGCAACCCAGGTGACAGGGACATCCTGTTCCATTAGGCATAGCAGGCACAGTGCCCTAGGGTCCATGAAAGTGTTATTTTAAAATCTGGGGGAAAAAATGTAATGAGGTGTCTTATGACAACATAATCATAAATCTTTTCTTTTTTTTTTTTTTTTAAACAGAGGAAGAGACTCATGAAGGCAAAAGTGCCTTCGGCCCATGAAAGTCATATGTGACCAAGCACAGTGGCTCATGCCTGTAATCACAGCACTCTGGGAGGCTGAGGCGAGAGGATTGCTTAAGCCCAGTTCAGAGAACTGCTAGGGCAACACAGCAAGAACTCATGTCTACCAAAAAAAACCAAAACAAAAACAACCTACAAGATTAGCCAGGTGTGGTAGCATGTGCCTGTAATCCTAACTATGGAAAGGCTGAGGCGGAAGGATCTCCTGAGCCCAGACTGAGGCTGTGGTAAGCCGTGATTGTGCCACTGCATTTCAGCCTGGATGAGGGTGAGATCCTAATTCAAAAAATATAAATAAATACATAACAAACAACACGTCATATGTGATCATGGATCTGTGACCCACAAGGGCTTGACCTCAATCCATGCACTGTCAAATATGCATGGCTCTGACACAGCTGTGCCTCCCCTCAGATGCCCCCAGGGTTCTGGGTCCCACAAATGTTGTGTCTTGGTGGCCTCCACACCGTTTTGCACCCACAAAGCCCTCTCCAGAGCTCATGTACTTGGCATCACAGGTGATGGGACAGAAGCATGTCCATGAGCAGTTCTCAAAGTGTGGTGCTGGCTTTCCTAATAACACTTAGACATTATTTGCACTTTTGACACGTTCTCCCATGAGTGTACGGTGGAGTTTTCCCAGGACTCTGCGATGTAATGCCACCATCACCCTACTGGCTTATGGACTGTGTGCTGGTGTATCTTGTGCTCTATAAATTTCCCAGTTTCTATTTCTGGTAGTTTAAGCAACTAGGGGTATAATCCACAAAAAAGTAAAGGTTCTTAGAGACCCTCACAAACTTTTAGAGTATAAAGAGGCCCTGAGACTACATTTTGGGATCTGACATGGAGAGGTTCCTGGGTCACCTCACCAGTACACGTGTTCCGTCCCCCACACATGAACCATTGTGCCGTGGTAAGAGCCTCTTGGACTGCGCTCCCATCACATGCTCACCCGCCCCGGCGTGAGGTTGGCCATGTACAGCCTGGCGGTGTCTGTCACCTAGGGCACACACCACACGAGACTTCATACGCTGGCTTACAGCAGGGCGCCTGGCTGATGGCAATGTTCACTCTGCGCCGGCAGGGAGGCCTCATAGCCAGATACCCCATGCGGCTCACGGGTGCCTGGAGTCAGCCTTATTTTAGCCACACTCAAACATACACACTCCGTGTAAGCCACACAGCGCCATCCCAGCAGGGCACACAGCAAAGACTCCTATGCTATGCTTTGGCAAGGGACTTGGGGTGAGATGTGGCCCCTGGAGATGCGTCAGAAGGTAGGTCCAGCCTCCCCCGGACTTTACAATCAGCCATCCTCACTCACTGCCTGTCAACTCTGACTACATCTGGATTTTCTTAAAATGAGACTTTGAAGAGACAGAGTCTCCAGTTCGCTCCACTCTTAGTTTGGCTCTGGCTGATTTGAAGCTTTGTGGACAACGGGTCCCTGCCTGGGGTGCAGGGCACAGATAAGCCCAAGTGACTGGCGGAGCCCCGGGGAGAGCAAAGCAGGCGACAGAGCCCAGAAGGTGAGCGGGAGGGCAAAGGGTGACAGTCGGAAATGTACAGAGGAAGGGGCCGCCCCCTCCCCCTCCCCAGGCCCAGTCCTACTCACCAAGGACGATGAGCTCTGCGTAGGCCTCATTGTTTCCCTGGAGGTCCTGGGCCGAGACCACGGAGCAGTAATATACACCACTGTCCCCCCACGCCGTCTGGTCAAAGGTCAGGTCGGCATCTGGGTCAGGATGAGGAGGTGTGAGGGCACCTTATGGATGGGCTGGGTGTGCCTAACCCCAGGAGGGCCGGAGGCCCCTCCCAGCCAATCTGGGAGGGACCCAAGGGTGGGGCTGCAGAAGAATCAGGTAAATATGAAATGCTTCTCACCAAGGGCGCCTGACCTCTTATGCCCTGTTCTGAACTAATAACTTGGGTGACAGCAAGAAGTCTGCGAGGTGGGTGCCATGACCATTTCTGTTCTGTAGATGAGACTGCAGGTCTGGAGAGATCACTTAATCTGCCCCGAGTTGCATGGCTCATTGGTGGTGGACAGGGACAGTCTGGCCCCACAGCCTGTGCCTCTCAACTTATAACCATCCTTCACACCACCTCTCACGGCCAGTCAACTCCCTGATGTAACTGCCCGGGAGCCTAGTGCAGACTTGGGATAAGTGCAGAGTAAGGAGGCAGAGAAAAACAGGCCAGATTCCAGGTACCAGGAGATGCCCAGGCACCAGTAACGCATGGGTGTGTCTGTGTGGGAGAGAAAGAGAGACCTCTCAGTTCCCTGGTCCCTCCCCCATCCTGTCCTCACATTCCAGGTCAGGCCTAGGGCTTGGGGAAGCTCTGATCTGAAGCAGCCCTAGGCAAGGAGCCTGTTAATTATGGCACGAATCAAAGTCTTTCAAAGTCTTTCAGCACATCCGGTTTTCTCTCTACTCTTCAGGCACTAATTAGTTAATGATTGGGGCACCCACTGGGCAACTGTGCCTGAGGCTTAGGGTAGATAAAGACAGGCTACAGAGAAGCATCTCAACCAGGAAATCCCCTCAACTTCAAGGCCACTTTCTTCCCAGTCCCTCTGGCCTCCTCCTTGACAACCTAGAGCAGTAACCATGGGTGCCCCAACCTCACAGCACCTGGCGCCCAATGGAACATCAGTAACTGCTGAAGGCATGAAAGGACCCGAGCCTTCCTCCACCTTCAGAAGGAAGACTTTCTCTCTACAGAAAAACCCTTTCTTCAGCAATGTCTATGCATCGTTCCAGATACCTTCCTCAGGTTTTCAAGGCCCTTGGCAGGATCTGGCCCCTAGCTACCACACCAGCCTCAGCTCCACCACCTTCCTCACTCACTAGCTTCCAGACACACTGGCCTCCACGCTGGCCACCGGCATGCTGGGCTCATGCCACAACTCCCCTGCTGAAGTGTGTCACCAGCTTAGGGGCCGACGGTTCACTGCCCTGTGAGTATGTGGGCTCCATGCCACAGAACCTAGTCGGTCTCATCTCTGTTGGGTCCCCAGCATTTGACCCAGGGCCTGGACAAGAGCAGAAATGAGCCCCTTCTCTCCTCACGCTGATATTCCTTCCTTTCTGTTGTCTCTTCTAGTGTTCTGGGGACATGGCAATGTTCAGATACACACTTGATTCATTCATTCAACATCCTGTGAATACTTGCCAAGTGCATCCTCTGTTCGAGGCAGTGTCTGTACACTAAAGAGCAATGGTGATATGGTTCTCACTACGTGGTCTGTGGACCTGGGGTTCCCTGAGACCTTTTCAGGAGAGGCCTGAGGTCAAAGTGGTTTTCATAATAATAGTCATTTGCCTTTTCTCTTTAGTCTCCCAGGAGTGGACTGTGGCGTGTCCTAGAAGCTGCGTGACATACGACAGGCACCACAATAGTCTGAAGCAGTTTTGAGAATCCAGCCTTTTCTATTCAGTCAGACATCAGAGACTTGCAGAAGTATAAAACCAAGCCATTCTTCTCATTAAAATTTTTTTTTAGTTTCATAAGACATAGTTATTTTTGCATAAAAGTATGTTATTTCTGTTAACCTGTAACAAGTTTATTATTATCATTTAAACTACTTATTAAACTCCTCTCGGCTTGCCAACTATGAAAACAAAAGCTCTTTGAGAACCTCAGTATTAAGAGTGTAAAGCAGTCCTAAGATCAGAACATTTGGGAACCCCAGCTCCAGAGAACAGACAGAAACCCTTGCCCTTGTGGAGCTCAGATCCTAACTGAGAAAGACAAAAAATGTAGCTATGCTACTCATCAGTGATAAGCAGGACAGAGGAAACAAATCAGGGACGGCAGATGGCAAGTATGAGGAGTGGAGTGGGGGCTGTGTAAAGAAAGGAGGTCTGGGAAGGCCTCTGGATGAGGTGACCTTCGCGGCAGACATGAAAGCATGGAGGGCACGACTCCACTTCAGTCAGGCATTTAGCTTTGGTTTGTTGAGCTCCTACTACGTGCTGGGCCCCTTGGTACACAATCTTTCACTGAATCCTCATAAAACTCGAAACTGGCATTTCTCTTAAATCTTCCAGATTTTTTCACAATGCCCTCTCGGCCCCTCATCTGTGTATCTTTCAACCAGCCTCTGACCACGCTCCAACATGGAGCTTAGGAGCTGGTCCCTGCCAAAAGCTAGAGAGGTGGCCAGGAACCCCCTGCCACAGCAAGCGGATTATATAGGCCAGGAGTCTTGAGGGCCAAATCTGGACCTCAATGCGTTTTGTTTGGCCTGTATGATGTTTTCAAAACCCACAACAAAATAGGCCCTTCCGGCTTCTTTTGATCCATCCTAGGCTTGGGCCCACCTCCTTCCTGTGAGACACACCCTGTTCCTGGCCCCCAGCTGGCCCCGAGATAACACAGGCTGGGCAATGCTTTGTTTGAGTTGCAGGAAGAAGATGCCAGCCTCCAATGGGAACAGAAGCCGGGCCTCCTCCACATCTCTAGACTCTGCCTCCTTCTTTATACACTGCAGAGGTGACCCTTTTGATTGCAGAGGTCCCACGGGCTCTCTGCTTCAGTGCTGGTGAGAATGGGGCAAATGGATTCCAAGCAGCCTAAGGAGGTGGAAATGGCCTCCTCTCCAGTGCACCGCAACACCCAAAGCAGGGAAGGACAGAAGGGGCGCAGGAGCCACACTGACCCGAGGACCCTTAGAGCAAACCACCTTCTGGTTCACCCAGGACTTTCACTTGTAAAACCAGGACCCAGCCGGGCTCGGTGGCTCAGCCTGTCATCCCGCGCCTTTGGGAGGCTGAGGTGAG